CGTCATTTTAAAATACCTCTTCAAGAATCCATCTTTAACACCCTGTATACTAATAACCAAGAACATTTCGAAAAAAAATGACATTTAAGTTTTTGTAATATTTTGAGGTTCTCTACTTTCTCCCAAAGTTTGACCACTTATTTCAGAATCACCCTGTATATTCGATGCATTTTCAACAAATACGCGCGCTCGCAAACGATTTCAAAGCCGATTAAGATCGCATCTCGTCCGGGGAATGTTTTAAACGTAAGATCGGCGGCATCTTTTATTCCTTGATTTGTATTCAATTAGTTGCTAAATAAATAAATGAATAAATAAATAAAATAAAACGAATCGACCACCGTGCTTTTGTTAGTTCGGCCAATAAATACGATATAATTAAAGCTCGAGTTATACACCTTGCTCCATTTCCGATTGCAATATTATGGTCATTTCTATGAGTGGAACAAAGAAAGATTATTAAAATGACAGTTGTCAGAGTGAAAAATTGCAATGACATAAATGTCATTTTTTCCTTTTCCTTTATAAGTGACTAATAGAAGTTGTCTTTATCGCACCTATAGTCTATATAACCTATGTTGCGATCTAAAATGGAGCAACCTGTATACTATAAAGAATATTTATGTAAATTGGGTATAAACTCAGCAATTTTGGAGATTTTATTAGAATCTTCAGATTAAGATATTCAGGTTGATTCTGTTTGGATCTTGTTATGAATCTTGCTATGATAACCATGTTGTTATATGTTTAAGTTATAACAATATTGCCAAAATTGTTCTTATTCTGTTTCGATTAGTTTAGCAATGTTGGTTATATTTTTAACGCTTTACCATATTGCTAAAAACATGCTGTCATTAGTGAAAAATAAAGCTGACAACACTGTAATTATCTGAATATAACCGAAAAAAGAAGAATCCTCCCTAAAATTTATTATTTTACGATTACAATTGACTCCATTGAAGGCAGCTTTTTATGTGTTTCTGCGATGGAAGAGGAGGCGATTTTTATAAAACGATGAAAGGATTAACAAAGAAAACAAGCAAGGAACAAATGGAAGTAATATAGTAATAGTTAATAAAAATAAAAAATATTTAAAAAACCTAAAAGAATATGAGTAATTATTTTTATCATACATTTTTGAACTAGCGCAACTTGTAGATAAAAAGGTGTTGTATCTCTTCGGAATGGTTCTTTTAGAACTTCTAACAACTGTTGAATTAAATTTAAAGCTGTAGCCTTATTTAAGTTTTATAAATTTTTCCATTTAGCAAATCAAAGGGGTTACTTGTATCTCGTATTTGCAAAAAATGTAAATTCTTTTAGCTCATACAGTAATGAAAAATGATCAGATTAGCCATATTGCTATCAAATAGCAAGTACAAAAATGACATTGTTCAAATAGCAAGATTTATAACAAGATATCTTTACTAATGACAGATCATATTGTTTAAATTACACCAACAGAATAGGTTATTTCTTAGGACATTGCTATGAAAACAATATATTTACATAATAACCAATATTGCTATTTACAAACAGAATCGACCCGATTGTGAAATTTAATGTTTTAGAGCATAATCGATAAACTTCAATTACAATTTACCCTCTAAAATTCAATCTTATTTACCGTTTGATTAGTAATAGTAACAAACCTAATTCGAAATTCTCCAATTCCCACTGAATTTTTAGATAGACCTGTCAACCCGCAGAAATTTACGATGAGGAATATTAATATACCAGCCAAACTGCAGGGACCATTCGCTTTTGCACTTCGAAAACGTCCCCGGGGACGTTTCCACCCGAAAAGCCAAAGTTCGATGTCGAAAACGTGTCTTTCGCATTTACCGGGCGAAAAACACATAAACTGGTTTGTCATTTTCAATTGGCCGCATCCCGGATGAACTCCCGGCTTTGATCTAGCTCCATAAAAAAAAATCGCTTTCGCCGAAATTCCCACGTGCTAAACGTGTTCGAAATAGTCTAATTTATCACCCGCGTGAAGCTAGCAGCCCCACCTTAAAAAAAAATAAAAAAATCATAGATCATAATTTAGTGCTATTTTAGTGCTAATTTAGTGCCCACTTCCTAATTTTAGTGGTCGTCTGGTTGAGCAGAAAATTGCGATTGAAAATGGCGGTGCTAAGTTTATAAAGCTAGCACCCCCACATTTAAATATTTAAACAAAATTAAAAAATAATATATCGGAATTTAGTGCTATTTTAGTGCTTTCGTATGCACTACTCAGAATTTTATTTAAGGTATTATTCTTAAAGATATTTGATAAAAACGTATTGGAGTCAATAGAAAAACAGATAACATAGAAAAAAATACATTTAAACATAGTAATAGGGAAACGATTTTGATCTCTAATTTTTCAATGATTTTAATGCTTTTAAAGTAGTTAATGTCAGATTTTAGTGCTCAACCCTTAAACCCAAAAAATCTCATTTTTACCATTTTGTAGTCTGACCTCCAACAATAAAAATGTGATTTTTTGGGTTTAAGGGTTGAGCACTAAAATCTGACTTTAGCTATCTTAAAAGCACTAAAATAAACAAAGAATATGAAACAAAAATCATTTTTCTATCTATATATTTAATGACACTTTACTCTTGGAGGTCAGACTATGCAAAATAGTAAAAATGAGATTTTTTGGGTTTAAGGGTTGAGCACTAAAATCTGACTTTAACTATCTAAAAGCACTAAAATGAAGAAAGAATATGAAACAAAAATCATTTTTCTATCTATATTTTTAATGATACTTTATTTTTGGATGTCAGACTATACAAATTAGTAAAAATGTGATTTTTTTGAGTTTAAGGGTTGAGCACTAAAATCTGACATTAACTACTTTAAAAGCACTAAAATCATTGAAAAATTAGAGATCAAAATCGTTTCCCTATTACTATGTTTAAATGTATTTTTTTCTGTTTATCTGTTTTTCTATTGACTCCAATACGTTTTTATCAAGTATCTTTAAGATTAATACCTTAAATGAAATTCTGAGTAGTGCATTCGAAAGCACTAAAATAGCACTAAATTCCGATATATTATTTTTTTATTTTGTTTAAATATTTAAATGTAGGGGTGCTAGCTTTATAAACTTAGCACCGCCATTTTCAATCGCAATTTTCTGCTCAACCAGACGAGCACTAAAATTAGGAAGTGGGAACTAAATTAGCACTAAAATAGCACTAAATTATGATCTATAATTTTTTATTTTTTTTGATGGTGGGGGTGCTAGCTTCACGCGGGTTAATTTATCGGCGACCGGTGTGCTCAGTTTCGTTTCGTGTTTGCGGAAAAACCGTTTGGAAATTGACTTTTTTTATCCGACGATTCGCCGCTAAAAGAATATAACGCATACAGCTCGAAAGATGTCGATATTAGATAAGGCGGAACCCCCGGGTAGATCTTTAATTAAACTCGCAATTAGCGTCGGGTATACTATGAACGTTCGCTAATTAATACGACAAAACTTAAGCTCGCTAAACTTCCATAAACCAACGAAGGTTCTTTTGTACAAAACCATTCTTTTTTCTTTTTTTTTCAGTGTAAATCGTTGATTACACTGCGATTAATAATTTACAAAACATTTTTTCGAGTGTAACAATAAATTATTATACAGGGTGTTCAGATAATAGATGTCAATAATTCGCGAGCGTATAAATTACATCAAAATAAGGGTATATCTTCGTATACATTTTGTTAATTTGAGCCCCCATTTTTGAGATAGAGGCCTTTAAGGTTGAAAATTTAAAACTTATTTTTACGTTTTATTTCCAAGTTATACATGGGAACAATATCAAATTTTTGTGGTTTATTACCTACACCCGTGTGCCCAATTTGGTGATAAAATTAATTCTACACTATTCTTTGGAAGACAGTGGCGGCGTGTTCCCAGTGGTTAACAATTCGTTACTTTTATGGGGACAATCTGTATAACAAAAACGTATCGTAAATACATTCTTTAATCGATAAACTAACAAAAATGTACTCTTGTTTGAAGTCGATAAAATTAACGGTTTTAGAGAAATTTTAATTTTTAAATTGAGATGATGGGTAAAGAGAGATTTTCGGATAAACAAAAATTCTGGACAAACTCTCATTATTTGTAACTATTTACTAATAATATTAAAAAACAACAATAGAGACGATCTTGGAATTTCTTTAGATTGTTTTACCACCCCTTTTAGACGAAATTCCAGTAAATCAAGAGATGAATTTAATGGACAGAATAATTTTTCATTGTGAAATCAAGAAATACCTTTTAGAGTACAAAGAAATATTCTCCTTATGTTTCATAAGGGTTTCAGAAGTGTTTTCAACGAAAGGGTTCTCATATCGAACATTTATTATAATCTTTCGTTTGGCGATTTTCTTAACATCCTGATTTAAAAATTGAAATTTCTCTTAAATCGTTAATTTTATCGACTTCAAACAAGAGTACATTTTCATTAGTTCATCGATTAAAGAATGTATTTACAATACGTTTGTGTTATACAGATTGTCCCCATAAAAGTTAAGAATCGTTAACCACTGGGCACACGCTTCCACTGACTTCCAGAGAATAGTGTAGGATTCATTTTATCACCAAAATGGGCACACGGGTGTAAAAAATAAACCACAAAAATTTTATATTATTCCCATGTATAACTTAGAAATAAAACTTAAAAATAAATTTTAAATTTTCAACTTTAAAGACCTCTAGCTCAAAAATGGAGGCTCAAATTAACAAAATGTATACGAAGATATACCCTTATTATGATGTCATTTATACGCTCCCGAATTATTGACATCTATTTTCCGGACACCCTATATACGTATATTACACTAGGAAAAAAATATTCGTGATATTCATAGTGTATACCTTATATGACGATCAAACGGGATATCATCATTGGATACTTCTGGTGCGAATTATCCAATTGAGGCCGATATGGCGAAGGGGAATTTGCGATAATTGAATAATTTCGTTTATTCAGTGGCCGCATTTATTCGATGGTAATCAAGATGTGCGATTCGGAGGTATCGACCGTCCGGAGCAAACCGAAATTCGAAAAATGGGTAACCAAAAATATGCTGTTGATACTGACTTTGATGGGGGTGTTATTCGGCGGAGCGATTGGTAAATATTTATCCACATTTATAGCTATTATTCAGTGTACGATTAGAATTTTTTTTCCAGGGTTTTCCTTGAGACCTCTGAGGCTATCCCAAACGGCCGTAATTCTGATATCTTATCCAGGCGAATTGTACATGAGGATACTGAAATTGGTGATACTGCCGTTGATAATGTCCAGTTTGATAACGGGTTGTTCGAGCCTCGATGCTAAATTAAACGGGAAAATAGCTCTACGAACGCTGATTTATTTCATATCCACGTCCATGTTCAACGCCTTGTTAGGCGTCGTACTAGGCGTTACCTTGCATCCAGGCGATCCAGGTTTAGGCGTTTCATCCATAGCCGAAGGCAACGAAAGGAAAACCAGTTCTGTACTGGACAGCATATTAGACATGGGAAGGTAAATACCCAAACAATACTATTACTTTACCAAACACTCCGGTATTATTACAGAAATATCGCAGCTGATAACATTTTCCAAGCCACCTTCCAACAAGTTTACACTGATAACGTCAATGTTACCAACGTACTCAACAAAAACGGAACCAAACAAATCGTCAGTAAAATGGAGAAGATACTGAAATACAGGTAAACCGTAGACCTAACTATTAACTATTAACTATGGACGCGGTTTAGACAAAGAGGTAGTGTTGTCGATGAATGAGAGAGATGTAGCTAGTTTGGGCATATGGCAATGAGAGATTGGACAATGCATTAGCCAATAGTAAGAAAGCAAAAGACCACGTGAGTTACGTTTTCAGTAATGCAAGATAGCTGGGGTAGAGGAGGGTAGATTATGGTAGAATAGGGTTGAGGAGTGCAGCGGAGGGTATTGTGATTTATTATTTTTTTGCCGAGCAAAATGCATTTTACAGCTAAACCTAAGTTCCCAGGCATTTGCAAATACAGTTCTTATTTTGTATTGTTAATTGGAACATCCTACCTATTAGCCAGTACAGATTTCGCAATTTAAGACTTAGCTGCTTTCTCTTGTAAAAAATATGTTTCTTCCAGGTCATTCTTCTGTCCAAGTGGATAACAAGATAAAAACAATATTTAAATATTAAGCGTATAAATAATTTAACAGATTAATAGCCTTTTTTCACGCACCCTGTATATACAGTGTGTCCACGGATGGGGTTGCCTATAGGAAAAATATTTTTATTATTCATTTTACGACAAAAAGTCATTGTTTATAAAAATTTTTGCTTCTTTTAAAAATAAGAATAACACTGAACAATCTTAGATTGGATCTACAGGGTGTTGACAAATTAAGAAAACATGAAAATACCTCAAGAGAGAAGTACCATTATTTTTTATTTTACACAAAATTTTTATAAAAGAAAGTTGTTTATAATCTAAAATAAAGGCTGAATACAAATTTTCAAATTAAAATTCCAATTTTGTGTGTCCACGGATGGAGTTGACCAGAGAAGAAAATGATTATTAATTTTACGAAAAAAAAGTAATTCTTTAAAAAAAAGAGAATTAAAAGACAGATTAAAAGTATTTTTTTGTAAATAATAATGTAAGATAATAAATAAATTTTTTCTTTATGTAAGATAATAAAATTTCTTTCGTTCTTTCTTGAAATTTTTTCCTGTTTCTTAATTTACTAACACCCTATACGTCTTATTTAATGTTTTGATATGTGAATTTCATTTTCTCGACAAGTTAATTTTTTTTATAAAGAATGGCTTTTCGTCGTAAAATTAAAAATAACCATTTTTCTTATCTGGTCAACTTTATCTAGGGACACACAAAATTTGAATTTAAGTTTGCAAATTTGTATTCAGGCTTTATTTTAGATTATAAACAACTTTCTTTTATAAAAATTTTATGTAAAATAAAAAATAATGGTACTTCTCTCTTGAGGTATTTTCATGTTTTCTTAATTTGTCAACACCCTGTAGATCAAATCTAAGATTTTTCAGTGTTATTCTCATTTTTAAAAGAAGCAAAAATTTTTATAAACAATGACTTTTTATTGTAAAATGAATAATAAAATTTTTTCTCCTATAGGCAACCCCATCCGTGGACACACTGTATTTTATATATTTTTTGGTCGCGCCTACTTTTAGCCCAAACTAGCTCCATCTCTCACGGACCTCTCTCTCTATCATTGGGAACGCTGAATAACCTCAAAATAACGATTGTGCCTTGTCCATACTTAATAGGTCTATGAGGTAAACTCAAACGTCGAAACTCTAGTACAACTTAACCTCAATGGGTTACTCTGAAGGTTAGGTACCAACAATTTGGGCATAGTGTTCTTCTGCATCGCCTTCGGCACCATCTTGGGTACCACCGGACCGACGGGGAAACCGATCAAGGAATTCTTCTCGCTGGTATTCGACGTGATCATGAAAATGGTGAAAGGCATATTGTGGATCACGCCGGTGGGTTTGTGCAGCATCATAGCCGGAAAAATCATGACGGTGGCGGACATTTGGCTGATCATGTCCCAATTGGCTTGGCTGATAATCACAGTGGTGTTGGGAGTTTTCATTTACCAGTTTATTATATTGCAATTGGTGTATTTCTTGATCGTTCGAAAGAACCCGTTCAGGTATTATTTGGGAGTGTTGCAGGGTAAGCGATTTTTTTTGACTGACTTTAGAAACACTGAACATAATTATGAATTGGCTTTGGAAAGTCTGTATTTCTGAAATGACCTTGAAGAGACCATAATAATTATGAATTGACTTTTAAGAGACCACATTAATAATTTACTTTAGACTCATAAGAGGTACTCTATTTGCGAAATGACTTTGGAAAGTCTAAATTTCTGAAATGACCTTGAAGAGACTATAATAATTATGAATTGACTTTAGAGAGACTATATTTTAAATTGACTTTTTACACTCTTAAGAGGTATTTATGAATTGACTTTGGAAAGTCTAAATTTCTGAAATGACCTTGAAGAGACCATAATAATTATGAGTTGACTTTGGAGACTATTTTTATGAATTGACTTTTAAGATACCACATTATTAATTTACTTTAGACTCATAAGAGGTACTCTATTTACGAATTGACTTTGGAAAGTCTAAATTTCTGAAATCACCTTGAAGAGACCATAATAATTATGAATTGACTTTAGAGACGATTTTTATGAATTGACTTTTAAGATACCACATTAATAATTTACTTTAGACTCATAAGAGGTACTCTATTTGCGAATTGACTTTGAAAAGTCTAAATTTCTGAAATCACCTTGAAGAGACTATAATAATTATGAATTGACTTTAGAGAGACTATATTTTAAATTGACTTTTTAGACTCTTAAGAGGTATTTATGAATTGACTTTGGAAAGTCTAAATTTCTGAAATGACCTTGAAGAGACCATAATAGTTATGAATTGACTTTAGAGACTATTTTTATGAATTGACTTTTAAGATACCACATTAATAATTTACTTTACACTCATAAGAGGTATTCTATTTATGAATTGACTTTGGAAAGTCTAAATTTCTGAAATGACCTTGAAGAGACCATAATAATTGTGAATTGACTTTAGAGACTATTTTTATGAATTGACTTTTAAGATAACACATTAATAATTTACTTTAGACTCATAAGATTTACTCTATTTTCGAATTGACTTTGGAAAGTATAAATTTCTGAAATCACCTTGAAGAGACCATAATAATTATGAATTGACTTTAGAGACTATTTTTATTAATTGACTTTTAAGATACCACATTCATAATTTACTTTAGACTCAAAAGAGGTACTCTATTTGCGAATTGACTTTGAAAAGTCTAAATTTCTGAAATGACCTTGAAGAGACTATAATAATTATGAATTGACTTTGGAAAGTCTAAATTTCTGAAATCACCTTGAAGAGACCATAATAATTATGAGTTGACTTTGGAGACTATTTTTATGAATTGACTTTTAAGATACCACATTAATAATTTACTTTAGACTCATAAGAGGTACTCTATTTGCGAATTGACTTTGGAAAGTCTAAATTTCTGACATGACCTTGAAGAGACCACATTATAAATTTACTTTAGACTCATAAGAGGTACTCTACTTGCAAATTGACTTTGGAAAGTCTGTATTTCTGAAATGACCTTGAAGAGACCATAATAATTATGAATTGACTTTAGAGAGACTATACAGAGTTGGGCAAAAGTCCGGAATAAAATTATTATCTTTTGAACCAGTAATTTAAACAAAAAACGCCGAAACACGTAAATTGATTTTATATTGTACGGATTTGTTGCCAATAAAATGATTTTTTTTTCTTCAACCCCTTAGTTGCAACCCTACCCAACTTTATTTTTTAAATACAAAGGTATGTCGTGTGTAGGGTCATTGAAAAGCCCGTGAAAAATGGAATCTAAAACATACCTTTTTTTTTATTTTTCTCATGTTGTTATTTGGAAATGAGCAAAAATTTCTTTTAAAAACAAAAAAGTTACAAATACCTTTTTAGTGCTATCGACGTAGCAATGTTGAAAATGCCCTTCACCATCTATTTGACAGGCTCCCAGGCATTGGTAAAACGTAATATCGATAGCATATCTTTAATTCTGAATGACTTTTTAATAAAAACAGGCGAACCTTTGGTAAAAAAAAAACTTGTACAAAAATGCAACACCTGTTTTCCTTTTTGAAGTTCACTGATCAACAATGGCTTAGATTTAAACCCATTTTATGTTTTTGTTTTTTCTTAAAACATAAATTTCAACGAATGTTGATGCTAAATTGCCTTATCCAGGCTCGCCTGCTTTTAATAAAAGTTCATTCAGAATTAAAGATAGGCTACCGATATTAGGTTTTACCATTGCCTTGGAGCCTGTTAAGTAGAGTAAGCCTTAATTCACACGTCGATACCACTAAAAAAGTATTTGTAACATATTTGTTTTTAAAAGAATTTTTTGCTCATTTCCAAATAACAACATGAGAAAAGTAAAAAAAAGGTATGTTTTAGATTCCATTTTTCACGGGCTTTTCAATGACCATACACACGACATACCTTTGCATTTGAAAAAATAAAGTTGGGTAGGGTTGCAACTAAGGGGTTGAAGAAAAAAAAATCATTTTATTGGCAACAAATCCGTACAATATAAAATCAATTTACGTGTTTCAGCGTTTTTTGTTTAAATTACTGGTTTAACAGATAATAATTTTATTCCGGACTTTTGCCCAACCCTGTATTTTAAATTGACTTAGAAAGTCTATATGTGCAAATATAAGTAAATGGTTATATTTTTTGTTTTCAAAGGGACATTAACGGCTTTCGCGGCCGCCTCGACAGCGGTCGCCCTGCCTATAAACATGGATTTAATGGATAACGAACTCGAAATTGATCCGAGAATAACCAGATTCGTCATGCCCGTCGGATGCAACACGAATTTGGACGGTACGGCGATGTTCCTGGCCATATCGACCATATTTATAGCGCAAATGGGCGGTTACGAGCTCGGTACCGGAACTTTAATCACAATTTGGTAAACGCGACAATTATACCGACAAAAATACCCTATTTAAAATGTATTAACTCGATTTCTGTTAGGTTTACATCGACGATAATGTCTTTCGCTGTGACCAGCGTGCCAAGTTCGGCTTTGGTGATATTATTCATGATATTATCTTCGATTGGGCTGCCTAACCATAATGTACCGCTTTTATTTGCCATCGATTGGTTTGTGTAAGTTAACCAAATTGCATCATTTCTACAAAAAAACAAGACCTACAGGAGGTCCCAAATTATGTTTTTACAATAGGTTTGTTCCTACAATAGTCAGAAATAGTCGGTGGTCGTCAGGAGTCTGCGCAGTAATAATTTAGGCGTTCCAACAAAATCCACAGACATCTCTGATTCTGACTTGGTTAACAATTTGTTGTTCCAACAGTTCAAGGGACTGGTTTTGTGATAGTCAGAAAAATTTGCTGATAGTACAGAGATTTAGAATCCGGCGCAAGCGCATTTTCAATTAGGGTTTAATTTGTATTTCTGAATATAGGTTAATTATTAGGTTTTGTTGTTTGTTGTTTTTGTTTGATATTTGGTTAATATGTAATAAATGTAAAGACTGTTCCATCAAGAAATCGGAAATTTGATAACACCATTCAATGATAAATCGCGCATGCGAAATAGAAGAGTCAGAAACTTATTGGTAACAAATCAGTGACTTTTTGTAGGAACAAACCTAATAGTTTACTCTGTAAATTTCCATTGTTTTAGGGACCGATTTCGGACGACCAATAACATGCTGGGCGATTGTTATGCAGCGGCGATAATCGATAAACTATCGAAAAAGGAATTAGAAGAATGCGATCAAGAGGTAAAATATTATTGATTTATTATCGACGAATAGATATTTTCACCTCTATAGATAAAGTTTAGATAACAACATGTGTCACATTAAAATCAGTTTATCTAGAGGTTAATATACCTACTAAATACACTATTTTTATCTGAGTACTGATACAAACTACTTGTAGAGCGATTTGAATTACAAACATCAGAAAAAAACGATTTCCGAAATTGTTTAAAAGTAATCGACATACTAATTTTCATCGATGAGAAGTGTTCTTCGACTATTTACGACCGAAAAAAAGCTGAATAAATATTTAAATTAGAGACTGCCTACGCCGAATGGATCAGAATGTAAAAAAACAACGAAAACCCAATAAAATCAAACCAATATAAAAAAATCATTCGTTTTATTTCACACGCCTACTCCTATCCGATATAATAAAATACATAAATTTCGCACGCACGAAACCTTTTTTTTTAGTGTAACCATAAATTAACCGCAGATTACACTAGAAAAAATGCTTTCGCAAAAAAGCAGGCGTACCCACCATATAACGTATAGTAGCAATATTCGTTCAAATTACACGTTTAGCGATATTTTCATCGGATTTCTTCGCTCCGATCGCATTACATTCTAAATTCTATTGTAAACGTCGTCGTAAACTTTACCGGTTTATAATTTCATCATTAATGGGCTCTCATTTTCCCCGGCGTCGTGTCGAATGTTTTCCTCGGTAAAGTCGTAAAATTAAATTGGTTTATCGAATGACGGAGGGATTTGTTTTTTTTTATTTTCGGACAAACAAAAAAAATCCGGTCCGCTAAATAACGAAAAAATACACTAAAAAAAATTGTACAAAACAAACTAGACGAAAACGTATCGGCTTACGTTGGAACGCGATTAGCAAATCTGTCTGTTATTAAAGGGCTTTAGTGAGTGTCAAGTTTTTGATTAATTATTGTAGACTTGTAAAACATAAAAATAATACACACACACACACACTTCGAAAAGTATTTTTAAACCTTCACCATTCGAAATAAACAGTAGAAATTTGTTAATGCATGTTAATTTCCTTACAAATCAATCGATATGTATCGAAATTGCCTGTTATTAAAGGGCTTTAGTGAGTGTCAGCTCGTTTTTAAGTCTTTGATTAATTATTGTAGACTTGTAAAACATAAAAATAATACTCACACACACTTCTAAAAGTATTTTTAAACCTTCACCATTCGAGATAAACAGTAGAAATTTGTTAATGCATGTTAATTTCCTTACAAATCAATCGATATGTATCGAAATTGCCTGTTATTAAAGGGCTTTAGTGAGTGTCAGCTCGTTTTTAAGTCTTTGTTTAATTATTGTAGACTTGTAAAACATAAAAATAATACTCACACACACTTCTAAAAGTATTTTTAAACCTTCACCATTCGAGATAAACAGTTGAAATTTGTTAATGCATATTAATTTCCTTACAAATCAATCGATATGTATCGAAATTGCCTGTTATTAAAGGGCTTTAGTGAGTGTCAGCTCGTTTTTAAGTCTTTGATTAATTATTGTAGACTTGTAAAACATAAAAATAATACACACACACACTTCTAAAAATATTTTTAAACCTTCACCATTCGAGATAAACAGTAGAAATTTGTTAATGCATGTTAATTTCCTTACAAATCAATCGATATGTATCGAAATTGCCGGTAATAAAAGTACTTTTGTTGACAATTTAAAATGTCGTGTACATAAACAGGAGTATATGCACCTATTGTAGGTCGAATTAAGGCTAATTACGCACACATGTATCGAGCGATAAAAATTGTTTTCTAACTTTATTATTCGATCAAATTGCTTTCAAGTACAAGCCGAGTGCTCTACACTCGAAACAATTCTATTCGATCGAACGAATCTACAGGGTGGCACATTAGTATGGAAAAGCTCAATATATCTGTTATTATAGAAGATATCAAAAAAAACTTCATTACATAAGTTGTAGATCTTTTTAAGCTGCACTTTTTAAAATTACTTACATTTATGCAGAGTGTCCCGTCTTTCCGTGGTATACCAAACTTATACTTTTTTAAATGGAATACCCTATTTTTTATTCAAAAATTGAAATTAGCTCATTTTCAGCTTTCCAAAAATATAATATTGTATTATGTTATACTGAGTGGTTTAAAAGTTATGACCACTTTTAAACGAAAATCGTACTAAGTTTACCAACTATGTAGAAACTAAATGGATTGACTTGAAAATAAATTTCAGGTTTGACAACATTGCAAATACCTTGAAAATGTACAAAATAAATATTTTTCTTTAATTTTAATCGTACTGCTTACAGGGTGGATCAAAACGCAAAAGTAACATTTTCTCCGTTATTTTAAATGGATCACCCTATATTTTATATCGTCACCAAAAAGTATTTTTAAAGCACTTTTATTCTTATTAACCATTCCCTATACCTAAAGTTAATACTTTTCGAGAAATTTCAATTAAAAAAAATAGAACTTAAAATTGAAGAAAAAAAAAAACTTTAAAGTTTCTTTTTAATCGAAGTACACGTTACAGAAAGAAGTAAGAAACGAGCTAATTTCAATTTTTAAATAAAAAACAGGGTGTCCCATTGAAAAAAGTATAAGTTTGGTCTACCACGGAAAGACGGGACACTGTGCATAAATGTAACTAATTTTAAAAAGGGCAGCTTATACAGGGTGTCTCAGAATAACAATTCCTAATTTTCCGAAATGATAAAGGGTACTTAAATAAACATTTTTTATTTATAAACTAGTGTCCGACAATGTCTCGGTGTCAAGATTAGAAATATTTAAAAATTAAATATTTAGAAATCTCTATCCAACATTACTAAATTGTAATAGTAATTACAAAGACACAATAATTTAGAATTAAAGATTAATGTAGCTTGCTGTTAAAAACATAGAAATAATTTTGATGTTTTCGCTACTTAAAAATCTGAATACCAAATCGAATATTGTAAAAGGACCGACGTTTTTGACAGGTTGCTCTGATTAAATTTTTCATTTTAGTAAGTAACTAACTAAAAACTTTCCTGCTGTAAAAACCAAGATTGTTTTTAAAGACCTCTAATTTTCCTTGAATGTCCTGTCTTTCCGTGGTAGACCAAACTTATACTTTTTTAAATGGGACACCCTGTTTTTTATTTAAAAATTGAAATTAGCTCGTTTCTTACTTCTTTCTGTAACGTGTACTTCGATTAAAAAGAAACCTTAAAGTTTTTTTTCTTCAATTTTAAGTTCTATTTTTTTTAATTGAAATATCTCGAAAAGTATTAACTTTAGGTATATGGAATGGTTAATAAGAATGAAAGTGCTTTAAAAGTACTTCCTGGTAACGATATAAAATATAGGGTGATCCATTTAAAATAACGGAGAAAATGTTACTTTTGCGTTTGGATCCACCCTGTAAGCAGTATGATTAAAATTAAAAAAAATATATATATTTTGTACATTTTCAAGGTATTTGCAATAATATCAAACCTTAAATTTATTTTCAAGTCAATCCATTTAGTTTCTACATAGTGGTAAACTTAGTACGATTTTCGTTTAAAAGTGGTCATAACTTTTAAACCACTCAGTATAACATAATACAATATTATATTTTTGGAAAGCTGAAAACGAGCTAATTTCAATTTTTAAATAAAAAACAGGGTGTTCAATTTAAAAAAGTATAAGTTTGGTGTACCACGGAAAGACGGGACACTTTGCATAAATGTTACTAATTTTAAAAAGTGCAGCTTAAAAAGATCTACACCTTTTGTAATGAAGTTTTTTTTCATATCTTCTATAATAACAAATATATTGAGCTTTTCCATACTAATGTGCCACCTTGTATTATTAACTTTGCGTTTCAGTGTAACTACAATGTTACACTAGAAAAAAGTCTCACGACAAATTATTTGAAAAAAAAAAAAAAAATCAGTTTGTTTTCGACGAAAGAAAACGAGGAATTGCGTCGGTTGAATGGATAAAAAACCGGCGCATCTGTCGTGTTATTAAATCGAAAATGATAACTCCTCGTCGTATATACATACATACATATCTAGTATAGAATTCGCGTAATTGCGGTCTCGGAATTGCGATGTAAATCAACCTGGTACCCATAATTTGACATGTGTTTTCGTCTTCACTTTCGATTTGTTTTACAATAATTACTGTGTACGTACGTATGTCCGAATTGTACACGCGGACTTTGTAGATATTTTATATTTAAAGCAAACATACGTAATTCGTAAAATGATGTTGGTTTATTTATTTGATTTTATTTTTTTTTTCGCTTTGTGCCCCGACAAGTCGCTAATCTATTATCATAATTATTACCCATCACGGTAATTACACCGTCGTTTTAATGGAAACAGCATTATTTAAACGAACGCTTCTAAAATATACAATAACGACAATTATATCTGATTATTGCTAATTACAAACCTGTGTAGTCGTTTTTGTTTAATTGGTTATCGATGTACCAATTCCGATATGAACCATAAACATTCTCCTATATACGCAATTAAAAACTAGTACCAAATCGGAAAATATCCAAACGATTTACTTGTCGCATTTCGATCCGATCAACCGCCTCCGAAGGTCCTCCCGGGGGGACGGCCCGGGGAGAGACCTAATACACGCGGTATTACAATACACATCAACCCCGCTCCCGGGTCATTCATTAAGTCTCCGCGAACCGAACGGGGGGCGGCGCGGGAGGCGGCGGCGGCGGCGGCGGCGGCGTTTCGCAGTCCCGGCTATTGATACCTTGCACATGTACATCGTACCGCTAATGAAACAAGGTCTCGCAATCAACGGTATATACGCCGGGGGTCGGTTCTCTTGGGGGCGGCCGCCGCCCCCCGAATCATTCTCTTTCATATACGCACCAGGTAGATTCAGGTGTACAGGGTGTTTCACAACTTATCCGACAAATTCTAACCACATATGCATTGTTATGAGAGAAGTTAATTTCCCAAAAAAATTGTAATAAAAGTCTTACAGAAATCGAGATAATAAAATAATAGTTTAACAGTTCAATTATTTATACAAGATGTTCAAAATTGTTCACATTTACTGCAATGCAAGCTTGGGTGCTTGTTTTTTTGTTTTAACGATTGTTTTGGTGCAACATTTGCTATAGTAAAGTATTAAGGTAAAATTATGAACGCAAAATGTAGTATTTATTTGTCAATTTTTTATTGAAACTCGGGTTTATAATTTTATTTCTGTTGGACTTTTATTACATTTTTTTTGAGAATTCTCAAAGAGAGAGAAGTTAATTTTCCAAAAAAAAAAAAATGTAATAAAAGTCTTACAGAAATTGAGATAATAAAATAATAGTTTAACAGTTCAATTACTTATACAAGATGTTCAAAATTGTTCACATTTACTGCAATGCAAGCTTGGGTGCTTGTTTTTTTTTGTTTTAACCATTGTTTTGGTATAACATTTGCTACAGTAAAATATTAAGGCAAAATTATGAACACAAAATGCAGTATTTATTTTTCAATTTTTTATTGAAACTCGGGTTTATAATTTTATTTCTGTAGGACTTTTATTACATTTTTTTTGAGAAATCAACTTCTCATTCTTTGAGAAATCTCAAGTCCTACAGAAATAAAATTATAAACCCGAGTGTCAATAAAAAATTAAAAAATAAATACTGCATTTTGCATTCATAATTTTACCTTAATACTTTACTGTAGCAAATGTTGCACCAAAACAATGGTTAAAACAAAAAAAAAACAAGCACCCAAGCTTGCATTGCAGTAAATGTGAACAATTTTGAACATCTTGTATAAGTATAATTGAACTGTTAAACTATTATTTTATTATCTCGATTTCTGTAAAACTTTTATTACATTTTTTTGGGAAATTAACTTCTCTCGTAACAGTGCATATGTGATTAAAATTTGTCGGATAAGTTGTGAAACACCCTGTATACATCTATATAGGTACAATACACCTGGGGGGCGGCGTCGACAACGGCGGCCCGGCAATTATTCATGCGATGTATTGTGTACAGGCATTCGCCCGTTGTATTATTGATTGCCGAAAGGACATCCTAACAAGACGCCGGGACTGGTTTAATAGAACAGAGTTACCCCATTAATTTGACGGGAATTTTAACGAAACATTTTTTTCTAGTGTAAACTATCGGTCGAGCGTAAATCGCTACACTAAGAAAAATGATGCGGCGAAAAGGCGATGTTTGTATGGAATGGGTTTTCAGGCGAGGGGAATTTTAAAATGGATAAAGCGATGAATACAAAATGAATTTTTCTTCGATGAGCATACAGGGTGTTGATTAATTGTATGCCGATACTTTAGGATGTGAATATTTGGATGATTTTATGAAGAAAAGTTTATATCATTGTATGTCCTAAACTTCTTAGTTTTCGAGCTACAGGGTGTTAAAATTTTAGAAAAAAATAACTTTTCTATCATAATTTTCTTATTACTCCAGATATTTTTATGAAATTTCGGACGTAAACGTCACTGGTAATAGTAGAAAATTAATTTTTGGCCCAAAAAAAAGTGTTTCTATGCATGGTGGGCGCCTATCAAATTTCAACAAAATATCAAAAGCAGTCTCAAAATTAATTTGGGAAAAAATAGTTTTGGTTTTTATTTTTTTACGCGAAAATGGTGTGTCGTACGAAAATAAATCTTCTGACCGAATTTGCTACAAAATAAATGAGGATTTTAAAAATAATTTTAGTTTTTAGAAAAAGCAGTGGTGTACCATTTTTTTTTCAAACATATTCAGTTCAAACTCCGTACGGACGTCACTGGTGAATATTTTAAAAATCTTATGCCTCAAAAAATGCTCCTTAATAGTTAAAAAGTGTATAGAAAATTTCCTAAAAATAACTGGAGTAATAAAAAAATTATGATAGAAAAGTTATTTTTTTTTTCTAAAATTTTAACACCCTGTAGCTCGAAAACTAAGAGGTTTAGGACATACATTGATATAAACTTTTCTTTTTTAAATCATCCAAATATTCACATCCTGAAGTATCGGCATTCAATTAATTAACACCCTATATAGTGGACCTTCCACAGAAGAATTTAAAAATTAACAAATTAGCAACGTTTACAATACGGGGTGAATACAAAAAGAATTTATGTCCGATGAGTAGAGTACATTTTCAACAGAATTTCAAAATTAACAAAATAAGCAACGTATACTATACGGGGTGAATACAAAAAGTATTTCTGTCCGTTGAGCAAAGTACATTTTCAACAAGTGAATTCAAAAATTAATCAAAAAGAAAAGATTACTATACGGGGTGAATACAAAAAGAATTTCTGTCCGATGAGTAGAGTACATTTTCAACAAAAGAATTTCAAAATTAACAAAATAAGCAACGTTTACTATACGGGGTGAATATAAAAAATATTTCTGTCCGTTGAGCAAAGTACATTTTCAACAAGTGAATTCAAAAATTAATCAAAAAGCAACGATTACTATACGTGGTGAATAGAAAAAGTATTTCTGTCCGTTGAGCAAAGTACAATTTTCAACAGGGGAATTCAAAAAAATAATCAAAAAGCAACGATTACTGTACGAGGTGAATACAAAAAGAATTTATGTCCGATGAGCAGAGAATAATTTCAATAGGCGAATTCAAAAATTTACAAATAAGCAACGTATACTATACGGGGTAAATACAAAAAGAATTTCTATCCGATGAGCAACCAAAAAGCAACATTTGTAATCATACAGGGTGAGTACAAAAAGAACATTGTCGACAAGAAGAGTGAATTTTCAACATGGGGAATAAACATATCCGTGTAAAATCGACAAAAAGAATCTCGGAGAACGATGCAGATGTGTCGGATAATTTGGTGTCGCATAAGTGCATTCCGTTCGGGCGTTTTAGGACCGCTCCCGCTCCCGCTACCGCTACCGCTCCCGCCGCTTTTTCGCTTAGGTGTCGGGTGGATCCCCCCCCCGCCTTTCTGCCCGACCGCCGCCCCTTTAAGTGCATTTACGTGTCGAATATATGCGAAAAAATATGGCGTATGCTAGGCAACATAATGCGGACACGAGAACGGAACGCCGGGAATCGATCAACGCCCGATATATGTTCTCTCCTAACAAAATGTCCTGTCAGGATGAGCACCGTTTGTACCGTTTCGAGGATCGAACCAACACGTCGTTTAGCTCTTACATAACCTGTTATTATTTACTATACTTATTTGGTATTGCTGGAGTGTTTTTTCGGAAACGATAGTAAAAATAATCATCATCTAGTGATCTAATCGTTTAGTTAGTTAAAATCTAAGGTCCTATATTTCTAAGGTCAGGGGCAGTGTTGTTATGTAATTAATTACAAGTAATTGAAAAAGTAATTGAATTACTTTTATTGTAATTGAGACAGTAATTAATTACAAGATCCTCAATTGTAATTCATTTGTAATTCAATTACTCCTTTCGTTACAATTACAATTATATTTTACAATTACATTTCAATTAAATTGGATACAAAAGTGCTTAGTTAATATTTTCAATACGTGGAAAGTTTAATTTCGATTGCAAATCCCTAAATAATTAATTAAAACTGACACCAAAGCAAAGTAATTGTGATTGTAATTGTAATTACATTCGCAAATTTTGTAATTGTAATTGCAATTAATTACATTTTGCCAAAAGTAATTGTAATTGTAATTAATTACATATTATAAAGTAATTTTAACATCACTGGTCAGGGGCCTGTTTCATATAACTGACAAGTTGACAAGTTACAAGTCGACAAGTTACAAGTGTTGATTGACAAGTATTAAAAAATTTCGTTTCATAAAATAAATTTCGACACTTGTCGAATTCAATTTTTGGCATCTGTTTTTTTACAGCTGTAATATTAATTAAACGTCACGACTTAAGCCAAAAAGAAAAAATTAGTATTTACTATACTGAGGAGCATAAGTATAGCACAACCTTCGTTTTTCGATATTGGGAAACTTTTACTTTGAAATTGTTTTTTTTTTCTGGTTGGAGCTATTTTTAGATGTGAACCACGACAATTTCGTTTATTGACAAAAAACGTATTTCTAAAATGCAGCGAAATTTATTTAATATTCAATTATTTTAATAAAGAAAGGGCATTCTATTTGGAAAATTTAGTCCCACTTCTACAAAAGCTATAAAATGTGAGCATTGGAACGAACAAAGACAATGCATAATTTCTATACGTTGGTTCTATACATTAGACGGGGACCAATAGATTTTAATATTTCCTCAATTTTTATCGAATTCATTCGAAATCGTTTAATAAACTCTCATTAAGCTTCCTCCTCACTGTCACTAGACCACATTTTCTTTTAAATTTACAAGAAAATCGAATGGTGACAGGAAATCAAATCCCTGTCGCTTTACACTAATATATGATAGGAATAAATAACAAGTGTTGTTTAATTTATTTTTTATGAAACGCAAACCTATCTACAATTTTAAAACAGACTTGTAATATTAGTCTAGTCACTTGTCACTAATAATCTACTCGTGTAATTTTACGAAACACAAACTTGTCAAATACCCAGTCAAATTTAGACTACACTTGTCCGACAGGACTTGTCAATTATATGAAACCTGGGTCATCACCCTATGCTTATGCATTAGAGAAACGTGTCCCGTTATTTGAGGACTTTTTGAGCTTCACTTTTACGCCGCAAGGTGGCGAACGATCGCATGACCAACTTATTTCAGCCAATCAGCGTCGCGCTACATATAAATCGCGGTTGTGTGAAACGACAGTTCGAGCTGTCAAAACTTCAAAAATTATTTTTTGACATTTCGAGGAGAAAATTGAGAAATACATTAACCGAAGATACGTGAGGCATGATGTTTACAACAAAACCATCGCTGATTTAAGTATATTTGTATATTTTGTATCTATTTTTAGTTTGAATGAAACCTATCTTAACGCTAATTCTATATAATTCCTATGCAAAAAATTGTGGTTCTTCACAACATCGCCTCCTAGCGGTCGTTTTAGGAACCCTGTTTTAACCTCAAATAACGGGACACTTTTTCAACCTATGTTTCAAGACCTTAGAAATATAGGACCGTGGTTAAAACGTACAATAAAGAGTGCTGGAGTAGAAAGAGAAGAGTAGGTTTTAAAAAAATTCGTGTCCGGGACACCACAAGAATTTATACGGCGCCTTCTCGAGAGGATTTCTGATCTCGCTAGTCTAGACATACACACACACACACAAGTACACACAGAATAAAAGAGAGAAAAAGGGGCCATCGGGATGAGCCGATTTGTCCGATTGTTCGGCGAGATAAAGCTCACCGATAGACGTATCAATCGGATATCTTTTTATACCTGTGGGCTCCGCGACCTGCATGGCGCAAGGGCGACGATTCGAAATTCGGATATAAGATAAAAATAGAATATAACGTTACATAAGCTCGAGTACTCACCTTTTTGTTGACCAAACGGGGCTCGGAACTGGCCAATTTCAACAGCTCCTGGTAGTCGCCTTTGCTGGCCGTCACGTACCATTCCACGCATTTCTTTGGTTCTAACTGAAAAATCGAGAAAAATTTAACGATTTTTTTTTCAGTGTAAGTATCAATCAATATTAATACACTAGAAAGAAACTATTTTGTACATTGGTTCTTACTGAAAATTGAAAAAAATTGAACGAATCTTTTTTTTTTCAGTGTAAGTACCAATCGGAATTATTAGTACAATAGAAAAAATAAACTGCTCCACAAAAGTTAAGGAAGTTCGCAAATTTTGCGATTATTTTAAAAGTTACAGACTTTTTGATCACTAAACTTACAAATATGCGAAATTAAATGTTTTCTCTCACATCTGAGTGGATTTTTTGTCCCTACCTCTACAACTTACACTAAATTTGGCGATCAAAAAACCTTAACTTTTATATTAATCTTAATATTTGTGAACTTCCTTAACTTTTTTGGAGCAGTATATTTTGTACATTGGTTCTTACTGAAAATTGAAAAAAAATGAACGAACCTTTTTTTTTCAGCGTAAGTACCAATCGGAAATATTAATACACTAGAAAAAAATATTTTGTACATTGGTTCTAACTGAAAATCAAAAAACTTGAACAAAACTTTTTTTTTCGTTGTAAGTACCAATCGGAATTATTAGTACAATAGAAAAAATAAACTGCTCCACAAAAGTTAAGGAAGTTCGCAAATTTTGCGATTATTTTAAAAGTTACAGACTTTTTGATCACCAAATTTTCAAATATGCGAAATTAAATGTTTTCTTTCGTATCTGAGTGGATTATTTGTTCCTACCTCTACAACTCATACTAAATTTGGCGATCAAAAACCTGCAACTTTTAAATTAATCTCAATATTTGTGAACTTCCTTAACTTTTCTGGAGTAGTATATTTTGTACATTGGTTCTTACTGAAAATCGAAAAAAATTGAACGAATCTTTTTTTTCCAGTGTAAGCACAAATCGGAATTATTAGTACACTAGAAAAAATATTTTCTTCATTTTTTATTCGACCTTAAATTCTCCAGTTACGGTCGCGATATTTCTTATTCAGATTTCTCCAAATGTGTAAAAAAAAAAACATTGCAAATTATCGCCATAAAAAAACCGAATAAACAAACTAAGCCAAGGTTTATGCGCTAACAACTCTCGTTATAATTGTTATTATTAAATTAGGAAACAATATTAAACTCGTGCTATCTCGGTGTTTTATCGAAAATCGCATAGGTCAAGGATTCCTGCGAATACCTAAGGAGACATATAGGGTGTTCCTAAACACCCATAACACATAAGGTAGAATGGGGCAAATCGGTTGTAAAATTTGAATAGTTCATATTAAATCCTAAAATGTGGCTTTATTTTTTCTCTTATTTGAAATGCTGATACCACATTAAATTCACAACTTACTAAACTACAGAATCGAGGTATTAAAAAGTTTTTTTGAAAAAGGAAGAAAACGATTTTACATATTTTTTAAAATGTTGACAATATGTTACATTTACCCCATGATAAAGGGTAAATGTAACAAACGGTTCTAAAGTGCAATACAATTATATAGAAAAACATATGGGGCAATTGTAAAAAAATATTTGGTTCCTCTAAAATTTGATATGCTGTTTATTTATTTATTTCAAAAAATAACAGAGCTACAAAATAATAAAGAAAAAATAAGAAACAAACCCTGTCTAATGCACAAAAGAACTATAAAAATAATAAAAAAACATCAACATAATAGGTAAAAATCTTACATTTACCCCATTTTTACATTTGCCCCAGTCCACCTTACTGAAGTGTATGCAGGAGAATTTTTACGAATCCCCCTGTATACTAACAATTTTTTATGCACAAATTACCGACTTAAGTGAGTCGTTATATTCATGTCAAGACGACAAGAATAATCGCGAACGAACTTTGTCACGAATTAAAATTTTCAAAGGCTACAAACGGTGACATACACAGGCTCGATTTAATTACACCGATAGGTCGGGGGGCGGTTTTAATATTTTAATTAAGCTCGAAACGGTACCGTCGACGGTTCGGAGGGAAAGTCGATTCCGATCGCATCAAGATGAATAAAAAAAACACACACATACACAGGGCGCAGGTCAACTGGGCAAAAATTTTATTAGCTGATAATAATTATCGAGATCGATCTGTCTTATGATAGGTCAACTGGGCAATTTCCAATATTTTTACCTGTCCCTTAATCGCTTTTCTAGTTTCGACAATTCGATAATCTCTTTAATGTACATCCACTTTTTGCATATCTAACCCTAGTAGTAATACCCTTGTTTGGATATACAATTGTGTTACTGCAGGTAGATTTTTCTGTTGATTCAAACAAACGATTGTACTCGTAAACTATTGCAGGAATCAATTTTTTGTTGTAAAAAAATCATGTTTAGTATTAATTGACTCGTTGTTAATCTTATTCAAATTGTTTTGAAAATTAATAAGATAAAAATAAGGTAGAAAATAGTTAAAAATGGGTAGAAATGAGTATAAGTAATTAAAAAATGGGTAGGAAATGAGTAGAAAATGGGTAGAAAACAGATAACAAATAGATATTAGATATAGGTCAAAAATGGGTAATAAAGTGGAAAATATGTAAAAATAATAAAAATTTTCAAAAACGATTCACTAAAAATTCAGAGATTTCATTGCTTTGAATCTCTGTATTAGGTATAAGAAAGATTCAAATCAATTGATGAAGCCAAATTTGAATCTTACCGGAATTACTGAATCTATGTTTTCCCATTTAAAAATATCCTTAAAGCGCTCTTGTATATTAGTAGAAAAGTGCAATTTCGAAGTTGTATGCAATCGTTTATTCATTAGGCATACCGAGCGTCCAGGTTCGAAGGAAGCAGGTCAACTGGGCAAAAATTTTATTAGCTGATAATAATTATCGAGATCGATCTGTCTCATGATAGGTCAACTGGGCAATTTCCAATATTTTTACCTGTCCCTTAATCGCTTTTCTAGTTTCGATAATTCGATAATCTATTTAATGTACATCCACTTTTTGCATATCTACCCCTAGTAGAGCGTAAGTATTTCCCAATTATAATTGCGTTTTAATATAAAATTAGGAGGGGTTCTTTGATCATACTAGTTTACTATGCTGTCTCGGTAGATCAATTTTGTTTTGAGTTTCTTCCTGAATTTTATGTTTGAAAATATACATCTATCTGTATCTAAATACCTACCTGTATGTAGTTACATCATTTTTCAAAATGACAAATATTAATGTGATTATTATTTAATAGGTACAAGATATCCAAAGAATCAAAATTTTCTCGAATTTCAACTTCAATTCAAATTTGAACATAGGTAAATTAAATGTTTAAAATGATTCTGATTATTTAATCTATATAAGTATTCTTAGGAAGGTAGGTAATCCCTTTGCCCAGTTGACCCTACCCAAAAAGGGTCCAGGAAACAGTCTTAGCCCAGTTGACCTGCCGTATTATAAAATAATTGACCATTTTGGCCAGTAGACCTACGACTCACACACACACACAAACGCACACGTAAAAGAAAACTGAATTAATAGCAGTTATAATAATTCAACAATTAATAATCGAGATACGCATCTCGAACGTCTCGTTTGTAAACGGAGAGAGAAGAAAAACTCAGTCGAGTCGAAAATAAATCAGTTTTTCGAGACGGCTCCGGCATCATAGGTGGACCGAAACGTCCGGTACTTTTAATTAAATCCATTTCGACTAAGTAGAATATATTACGAAGTTTTCGTTTGACAGTATCGAAACGTCAACGGAGATTCATTTACTGTTAGTGTGGTTTTTTTTTATTATTAGAAACGCCCATCTCTAATGTCCCTTACAGAAACGCTTCGGATAGGGAAATGTGCATTGTAACAGAGGTGGGAGTCACTAAAAATAACTGTTACATTATAGGAGTATTAAATATTTGTTAAGCACATGAAAGTCACTTATTTATCCAATAGAATACGTTACTTGACAAAATAATATTTCTATAAGTTCCTGGAAATATTTACCTATGTAACTATACTGCTCCAAAAAAGTTAAGGAAGTTCACAAATATTGATATTAATTTAAAAGTTGCAGGTTTTTTGATTGCTAAATTTAGTATAAGTTGTAGAGGTAGGGGCAACAAATCCACTTAGATATGAGAGAAAATATTTAATTTCGCATATTTGGAAATTTGGTGATCAAAAACTTTTAAAATAATCGCAAAATTTGCGAAAATCCTTAACTTTTGTGGAGCAGTTTATAAGAGTTATTTGTTAATTAAAAAAGCAAATATACAAAAGTAAAAATCTACCTATAAGAGAGAGTCATTTATATATCCAATGGACCCTTCTATGTACCAAACAGACCTTTAATAAATGCCAAGAAGCCTCATTTAACTTCCACATAGACCCATTTATGTTCCATATAGACCTTTCTATCTAACAAACAGACCCATTCACTTATAAAATAGACTCATTTTTAAACTCGAATTAGTGACGTTTAAGTACCCAATAGACCCTTTTATACGGCAAATAGACCCTTCTATCTACCAAACACACCCATTCATATTTTCCTATAGACCTATTGTTGTGACAAATGGACCCTTCCATCTACCAAACACATTCATTCACCTATAAAATAGACCCATTTAAGCACGAATTAGTAACATTTAGGTTTCAATAGACCCTTATATCTACCAAACAGACCCGTTTATCATCCATGTAGACCCACGTACGTGCCAAACAGACCCATTCATCTCTCCTACAGACCCGTTTATGTGCCAAATAGACCCATTATTGTATCAAACAGACCCGTTTGTGCACGAAATAGAATCGTTTATGCAGGCCAACACACTTATTCACATAGATATAACATAGATCCATTTCAGTTCTACGAATTAGTAACATTTAGGTTCCCAATAGACCCTTATATCTACCAAACAGACCCGTTTATCATCCAAGTAGACCCACGTACGTGCCAAACAGACCCATTCATCTTTCCTACAGACCCAAATAGACCCATTATTGTATCAAACAGACCCGTTTGTGCACGA